TTTGGAGAGCACCGGGGGTGCCTGACGAGTCTCTTCGAGTTGACGGAGGAGGGCCTCGATGATTTCGTCCTTGGGGTCCTTCGGGGCAACCCCTTGGGAGTTGGCCCGGAAGGATTGAGCCTGATTGATTTGATGCCTGGCGTCCTCGGGATGTAGGAGGGCCTTGCCTTTGTCCCGAGGGGGAGGCATGCCTTCGGCCCCCGAGGCAGAGGCTCCGCTCTCCTGGGGCATGCTAATTACTTGCTTACCGAGGCGGTCTTGGACCCCTCGGCTTCCGGGAGCGCCCCCTAGCCTCTCAAGTGCAGAGGTCCGGGGTTTTTCCTTGTTTATGGGGCGTTTGTCCTTGGACTGGGCCTCTTGAGAGGCGGTATCCTGTGCTATGACCCCCTCGGCGTTGCCAATCCCCATGGGAGGACTGTTGAACAGAGGAGGGAGTGGCAGAAAATGGACAACGTTTCCCCCGCCATAGGGTTGGAGGGGTGCCTGAGAGACAAAGGCTCCGGGATTGAGAGACATGTTTTGGACGAAGGCCGCAAAGGCAGCCTGAAGATCGATGACCGGGGCCGGAGGGGGAACTTGGTTCTCACTCCGATCCCTCCTTCGATTATCAAGACCAATGCGGGCATCAGGGGCGTTCTTCTGTAACTGCTGACGGAGGTCAGTAGCAGCTTGCTCTAATTCGAGGATGGTACCGCCTTTGGGTACCAAGAGCCTGTTGGAGGCTTCAGCCCCGTTGGTGTCGCCGGAGGCTACGTGGTTTTCCTCGAGGGTTTTGGATTGGGCACGAGTTTTTCCCATTTCTGGTAGATGTTTTGTGTTTGGTGGAGGGGGAGGGTTTCTTACTTGATTGTTCAGACCTCTCAACGAGAGCACCAAATGATGGATAGTCTACCCGGGGGGTGTTTTATCCGAGGGGTTATTACGGAATATCCTAGAGAGAAGTCAGAGCAAGCAAGTAGGAGAGAGAGGAGATTATTATTTATGAACTCGAGATGTTCTGGGATCGTTTACAAGGAGAAATGGGCTGCTATTTAAAGCAGCAATAAACGCGATGAGAGCACACGTGTCAGTAATCCAACGGCCGAGGGGTCACATCAATCGGGTGGCACCGGCAGTGGCATGTTCACCGCATTGAATGCGGTTGGTGGATGTGACGTTGCATTAAATGCGGTGGTTCGCTGTCTTCAAAGGGAATCTTCGATGATTGAGTCTGTTTGGCCGAAGGCTCCTCGCGTAGCCGAAGGCTTCATGTGGCCGAAGGCTTGGTTCAGCCAAAGGCTTCTCTGATGCCGAGGGATCAACAATGCCGAAGGCTCCTGTTTTCCGCCGTTTTCTCCCAGTAACTTTGCATGCCAAAAAAGTTCATGCTGTGAGTTCTGGAGCCTTCGGCCAAGATGGCCGAAGGCACCCCCCGTGTGTATCTCGGGCTTCCTTGAACTTGGGCCACCGTATTTGGGCTTCGGATGCTCCTTGGGCCTTCGTGGGAGAAGTAAGAGTCTATGGGCCGGGGATTCGTGGGCCATATACTCCATCAAGTGTATTAATAATTTATCATAAATTATTAACCGAAATACACATTTCGGGTATGAAGGAGAATCACACTTAGGTATCAATGATTGGATACCTACATGAGTAACGGGTATTATTATAATAAAGATATAATAAATTATCTAAATTTTATGTGGGGAAAAATTGATTTCTAAGTGTATAACATATATATAGTAAGATATCATATGGATTACGTATATTTATCCATATTTTATACATTAGTGTCCGTTATTAATATGGACTGATTTATGAGTATAGATAAATGTAATAGTATTTTATCAACCCAATATACTCGGATGAAAAGTTTCGGGTTGCACATTTAGGAGATTGACATGATCTGCTCATATACTGATAAAATTGGACTCAATTAGACCTATGCCAAATTATATCTAACTTTCTATACATCCTCAACACTTATTCATAGATTATAGGACCCTAATTGGACTTGATATATAAGTGAAATTATGTATCACATAGACATCACTAAGGTACAATTATGAAACATTTAGGGTACACCTGAAATCTCCTATTAATGTATAGTACATTATGATATCTTGTTTGATACAGATTGTTATGATAAACGTATTGAAATATGTGATATACAATACTTATATATTATTTCAATAATATCAACTAATTATAAATAGTCCTATATCTTCAGGTATTGTATATGTATTCCTATCAACGTGTACATACATTCTCGAAGGCAACTTAAATTATAGTATTGGGTTCCTATATTTATACCATAACATTTATATATTACACATACCGAAATATATACATAAGGACTCAAGTCCACATTAAATGTATGTATAGGAACCTATACATGTCTACACAAGTGTACACTGTATAGGAATAATGTGGATATAACTAATACAATAGAAATGCATTAGTAATTTATTAGTATTTATGATATGTATCACATAATGTGGATACACATTTGATTGTTACTATATCCCTATAATATATTATGTCTTAAGTGATTTCTAGACAATTATGTAATAGGACTTTATTATAGGAGAAATCGTATAAATCCACATAATTCATTGGATTTAGGATGTTTTCTTTTGGACTGAAATTTGCTGGTCTGGTCTGGTCTGGTCTGTTTAAGTCTGGTCTGGTCTGGTAAACGTCTGGTCTCTGTGTATTTTATAACTACGGAAGTCTGGTCTGGTCTGGTCTGGTCTGTTTAAGTCTGGTCTGGTCTGGTCTGGTCTGTTTAAGTCTGGTCTGGTCTGGTCTGTATAAGTCTGGTCTGGTCTGGTCTGGGACTCAAAACAGTCCAAAAGAAAACATCCTTATAGTATGCACTGAATTGTGACGGATTATACATGTGTCTTCAGTGTTTATACTTAATAGGTATAAACACTTATATCATGTATTTCAATTACACATTGATGATCTATAACAAAATCAATGATTTTACCCGATGTGTCGTTTATGGAAATCCTAGATTTTTCGTTGATTTATCATATGCCACTTTTAAGATATGGTCTAGATTGTATCCACTAATTATGGTATATATGCGAAATGAAGATTTTCGATACTTTAGACATTGGTCACATTATAATACTAGACTTGTAATGAGTACACTATGTATCTTAGTCCCATACTCTATCTAGAACATGTAAATACTGGGTATACATGTAGACATGTGTCCTATTATATAGTACAATATGGCATATGCCTAGACATGTATGGGACTAATCTATAGGTATGTGTATAAATTGGACACATGTATATATTATAGGACACATGTCTACATGTATACCCAGTATTTACATGTTATGATAGAATAACATGTGTTTTGGGTTCCATTCGTAACCCATTATCGAGTATCAACTGGGATGTATTGATATTATCAACACATATATTATAGGCCAAGTTATACACTAATATGTAAACACATGCATTAACTCAATGAGGATATACATTCTCCTATATGAGTATTGGGTTCATATCAAGTGTATAAGTCACATACTAAAGTTGGAACATATATTAATAATACTGATGATTGTATTATATTCTACATATTTGGTGTAGGACTACAATTAATTACGTAATATAGGAACTTATGCTATTATACTTATATATTTTCGTCCTGAAGGAGACTAGTATGATAATTTAGATTTTCATAGAGGTATTAATAAGTATATTGTCTAAATTAAACATTGGATTTAGTATAGGACATATATAGGTCAAATACGTAATTTAATAGTTTACCACAATGTGATACATATTGTAACTATGTAGTAAACCCGAAAACACTGAAGACATGTATCTTTATTTCTATACATAATTTGGACTTGAGTCCTGAAGGAGAAATGTGTATTTATGATAATAGTCCTGAAGGACATAATACATATAGAAATAAATCATATGTTATTTCAAATGAGTTGCATAACTTTATTGTCGTATGCACAATCCAAACTAGATATCTCTAAGTACGTGATAATATAGATTAAGAAACATGATTGATATGAAATTATTTATTAATAGGCCAATAAATAAACATGTATATAGTCAACATATACATGTGTTTATGATTATAAATATTAATTTCATATAGGAACACAAGGAAATACTATCATTATATTATAGTATAATAATGTTTGATCAAATATCTATATTATGATTGACTATATACTCAGTAATATACAGGTAACTATATACTACGTATTATACTCGGTAATACACTCAGTATAATATGGACTATAATATTTATGTCCATATTCAATGCCCAAGATAGATGAATTTTGTACCGTAAACCCATAATCCTATTTCCTGATAATGACTTGCATTAATTTTATAGACAATATTTTTAAAAATATATAATAGATATGAAATTTAGATATTCATTATAAAATTAGAAATGTGATTCTCACGGAAATCTAGGGTCGTAAAAATATCAACATTACGGGTATCTTTCTATATACAAAGCGTTGTGGAACAGCATGCCATTTTCCCGCCCATTCCATTGGCTAAAATGGGCCAAGACGGGTCAAAAAACGGGCAGAGAGCTAAGGTCAAGCAAAGCATTTAATGTTTGTCTCAAAACTTTTCCAAGAATTAAATGCAAAGTAAAATACGGCTGAGAAGATTTCAGAATTGATCTTGAAGGTACAAATGCATTTAATTAATTGCAAATCAAGCACACTTCGTGGGGTAACTTTAGCAGCTGTCCATCTTTTCAAACCTTTTTCCAATTATTAAATGAATTATTGTCATGTATGGTATCATTTATTCCGTATTAATAATTGATGATAAACTCTATTGTCCAATGTATAATACATACGGAGTATTACATCATACGAGCTGTCTCAATTAAATAAGGCGTGTTTAACAAGCAAATCTACTTTATACATATTCTCAAGTACAAATTTATTGGGCATTGTGTGTTGTCTATTCAAATTAAAAGGCACTGCATGCTATTGACCATTGGATATTTAGTCATAGATATTTAGAGCAGTTCTAATTTTTAGTATAAATACACCCAACTTAATCGGTTAGGCATCCAGAACAACACACATGTGCATTCAGAATTCGAGCAGTATGGGTCTTTGAAGTTTGCCTGCATGTCAAGAAACAAGATACAATAGAAGTTATTTTCAATGATGAACAGGTAAGTTATTTTCAATGATAAACAGGTATGTCATGTGCGTAAAACTTTTTATAAAAATTATGCAAATAGAATTTCATGTAATATTTGTGGGGTTAATCCATGGTTAACAATCACCATAATTGGCAGGTCGGGTGAGACACTAGAAATTGTTTACAATGATGAAGAGGTATATTATATGCTTTAATGTAAACTCTTTTGGAAAATTATGCAAATAGAATTTTATGTGTGTTTTTAGTCATATTCATATAAGGTTTCCTAATATGTTGTATTCTCTTTTACAGTTTGATAAAGACAAATGTCATAGGCAAGATTCTGGGAAAGTGTGTTTTTCAAAGACATGGAATCAATGTAAACAAAAAAGGTAAATATGAAAGGTAAAACTACAAATTTTATAGGATTTGGTATATAGTTTTATATACTATAGGATTTTGAAACTACAAATTTTGAGTGAAGCAGATAGGGCATGTTTTTCAAAATGCATTAATGTTCTGTTAACATTCAAGTTGCTTATCTTTCTATATACAAACTGCTGTGGAAAAGCAGTCCAAATTCCCGCCCAAACTGTTGGGTCAAAAATGTGGAATCGGGTCAGAATACGAGTCTAAGAAATACGGGTCATGTTTGAGGCCAAAAACAATATTCTTGCTTTGGGAGGCCGCATGGGCTTTGCATTTAATGTGGTAACATTGTGTCTTTTCAAAACTTTTTGAACATTTAATGCAAAAGCAGCAGCAAATTTTTAAAAGCAAATGTCAATCGGCCAGATTCAAATTCGTGTGGCCAATTGAAAGGGTGGATCTTCAGAAAGGGATTTGCATTAAATGTTGTGTACTTTCATTTCTTCTTGAGCCAAACAATATATATACTCCCTCCGTATCACATACTCCGTATATCTTCCCACTTCCAAAGTGGGTGAGATTAAGAATTGTGAAATGGGGTATGAATTATTGAGGGTATGATGGGAAGATGGTGAAATAATGTGATGGAATGAAGGATAAATCCAAAAAAAATAGGCGTAGTAGTGTATTATTTTTTAAATTATTGAGGGTATGACGGGAAGATTTAGAAATGGGAAGATATAAATGTTACGTCCAAAAAAGGAAAGTGGGAAGATATGAATGTTACAGAGGGAGTATATATTAAGATCTTTAAAGTACAAATATATATATATATATATATTAAGATCTTTAAAGTACATCGGCATTAATGGAAGCAGCAATGAGATCTGATTTCAAATAAAAATCGATTGATGGATTTTTGTCCATTGGTTATCAGGGTTAATGCCCGCTGGAGACTGCAGTAATGTTTGCCTCTAATGTAGTATAAATAGGGCACTTCGGGCAGTTCAATTTCCATCCCACACCGCATCATCCACTCTCATAACCTTTCATTCGATGAAAGCAAATCAAGGAATGATACTCTTTTCTAAGAGATGTTGATCACACCAAGACTACTTGGGCAATCAAGGTGAAGGTGATCAGGGAATACAAATTGCCAGAGTTTGTCCTCATTGACTCTCAGGTAGTTTAAGATCATTATAAAACTACATGCTATTGGCTTTTCTTATCTGATTGTAACGACCGTCCCCAAAACGGCCATTACGATACTCAAACATAAAAGAGACTTGATAAATCAAACGGAAATAAAGATACATAGTCTCGTCATGAAACTTTATATCTTAAATACATAACCAAATTTCATAACGAAAATGTCAAATAACCAAAAGAAAATGTCTTTAAACAAAACATTTACACCTGATCAGGATTTTAAAACAAATATTTAAATAACCCATAGCAGTACCGTAATACTAAAAACAAAACATAATAGATTGCCCGATCTTCTCCGTTAACCCATCCAAAACCTTGTCACCGGCTCCATACATTCTCTTAGGCTTTTGTATCTCGTTCATTACCTATACATGAGAACATAAGAGAACAGAATTCTCGTAAGCAATAATGCTTAGTAAGTCACCATTTCATCCACTAAAAGCATTTAGGGAATCTTAGCTAATCATAAATGGATACCCATGCTGAATACACCACACACATACCATAATCACACATGATAACAACACATAAGCATTCATGTATCAACACCAAGAGGTTTCCTTATTCATCATTCTTTCTTCTTATCTTGCTCCTTGACTTATGGGCCCGTAGCTCGTGTCCTGGCCCCTCGCTAATGACCTCGGGTAGCTAGCCCTCAGACATCAGAAGTAACCCCGGGACTCCCCGCGGAAGGAGATCCCGCTCCGCTCAGCTCAGGTAGTTACTTGGGGGCACGGCTACCTTGTAACATTACTTATCATTCCTTATCACCATAACTTCCTTTCATTGTTGGTTCCATATGAACTCAACCTCAAATCAAACATAGAACTTGAAATTCACATATCTCATGTCATACAATTTCAAGTATTCATGCACATGCATCACATTCACAATATTCCATAACTTCACAATCAACACCATTTGTCAATCAGTACATATAACTTGGAATCACATATTTCACACCATACGATTAAGTATCCATGCACATATATCATATTCACAATTAGCTAATATTCCACACTTTATTTAGAACTATCATGTATAGGTGGTGGTGACTTACCTGTAGAAGCTGAACTCAAATTACTAATTAAATGTGACACTTGATAACGTCTCCCGGTAAGCTCTTCTTTGACATCTTTAACTAGATACGATAAAATAGTTACCATCTGATGTCTTAAACCACATAAAACTAAGGAAATCTTTTGCTACAGTCATCCAGCCATTTGTAATAAAATTGACTAGTTTATTCATGTACTGCTTTAATAAGGTTAAGCAAATCATTGTTCACTGCTATTGTAATGATTATACGGTTTCCTTCTAGCTGAGATTAGTAGCAGCCCACGGATAGGAGAAAAAGAATATGGCTGCAGGAATGAAATCCAATTGACCTATTAACTGAACACAAAACCGATGCCCAACATTGAAATAGAATCCATGCTTTAGAAAATTGAGAAAGCATCTATCCAAATGCTTAAATCTCTTAAAATCAGAATTTGGTGATGCTATAAGACATAAAATGTCCAGCTGCCTAGGTTTTAACACCGTTAGTAACAAAGTTAAGTTTTATCTTTGAATCCTACTTTCCAGAATTCCAAACAGACAACAAGAACTCAACCTGGTTTACAACTCAAGAAGCCTAATCCAAATATATGTATGTATATAACTAAGAACCCGATCTTAGCAGGGAAAATTGTCCGGCCAAAACAGCCTCCCGTTTCGAACGTAACTTTACAATCACGAGAGAAAAACCTTTAGCAAAAGCAAAGAAGACTGAAAATTAAACTTACCAGATAGAGGCGGTGATACAAGGGACTTTGAAAAACGATTGAGTAGAAAACCTTCGAATGAAGAGGAGGAAAGGGGAAAACAGGGAGATTGGTTCCCGATCGATTTAAATAGATGATGCGGCTACTGTCGGTGGAAAAAGAAACAAAGGCGGTGTGTATATATATACTATTCCTTTCAGGGCTTTTAACCAAAACATAGATTCGGGCAAGATAACTGATTTGAGTGTCTTAGTCTGCTAAAACAAATGTTTCTAGTTCTGATAGTAGAATTTTGACCTAATTAAAATAAATATTTTAAAAATAAATATAAGCTGATAACTTCAGTAGATTATTTACTTCTTTTTTTTTTTTAATTCCTGAAGCTTATCGGTCAACGCTATCTGCCACAAAAAAATGATAACACAAGATAAAATAATAAATCATATTATTCAGAAAATAAAAATATTTAACTCACTGAGTAACTTATCTAACTTATCCAATCAAAAATTTGGGATGTTACACTGATATTCATTTAAAATGTAAAATTTATGTTCCAGGGTGACAAAATTCACGGCTTGGTTAAGAGGCCACAACTCAGGATGTTTAGGCCAAGGACAAAAGAAAATGGATTTTCTTATTCTATTATACTAATTGTACACAGATACAAATCATTATATAGACTATAAATACAGTTCGTATAACATATAGTATATATATATTTATGTTGATATTATTATATGAAATTAAATTACTTATGTTAATATACATAGCTTTAATATTAAATTATTTAAATAAAGGTTTAATCTATGTATGTGATTATGTCATTATATTATGACATAGTATGATAGTTATAGATTAAAAAAACGAGATGATAAACAGTACATAAGGCGTATGAATAATTATGGAATACATAGACATTGTAGTCATAGGTATACAGTATAAGTCGTATCTGAATGCCATCAGAGCCAATGGTATAAATAGCATACAGTATTCATACGACCGTAGCATTAAAAAATGGAAGCATTAAAAAATAATTGAACTTATAACCTAAGAATCATTCGGTTTCAATTTTATAAAATGAATTCTATGTTCAATTATTTTAAAAAATCATTAGTTATAAAAAATCATTAACCGAACGATGCTTAGGTTATAAAATTAACTTTCACTTAAATTGGAAAAAAGCTTTTCAAAGACGAAACTGGAGAATCAAACAAAAGATATACTTTCCCAACATCAAATTAAAAACCAAAAACCATGTTCATCGATCACCATACACAGATCTGATATTTCGACAGACCTGACCACGAAATGGTATACCCGACAAGATTTTTTTATCCTCAAACCGCAAAAATATCAACAGATCTATAGATGTTGGTAAAATCTTTGAAAACCGATTCGTCAATAGGCTTAAGTCCATTAATAAAAGTCATGCATGCGGAAAAAATAAGTAATATTTGATGAAACATATTACAAGAACACTCAGTCAAATGAGATATGTGAAAATTTGTAGAAAATATACACATGAACTGTTTAAAACAAAGAAAATGTTTGAGTATTAATGTTTTGAAAGAGGATATACCAAACGACTGAGACCAGCCGCAGAATCCACGAACGATGATAACCGACGCTTAACATCCAGCGTTAATGCCGCACCGACCTTCACAGACGACCGGAAAAACGGTGAAAGTGAAGGGCTAGACGAAGGACTACCGAAGGGGTAGGTTGTGTCGTTGTGTACGGAGGTTGCCAAAGAGAGGGGTGAATGATCTGGAGACCATTGGTCTGATGGTGTAACCGATGAGTCTCCAGGGAGTGGGGGGATTATACATTAAGGGGGTTGGGTCGGGTAGGTTTAGGGATTTAATGTGAGGGTGGATAGGGTTGCTGGGTTGGGTAGGGTTAGACACAAATATTTAAAATAATTGGGTTGTTGGGTCAAAAAGGCTGGAATTGAGGTCCAATTGAAGTTCAATTTAAGCTATAAATTAAGCTATAAATTGATGGTCCTAATTATTAGAGTATTAAAATTATCATTTTAATAAAATCCAAAAGTGTTTAAATTTTTATTAATAATTCTTAATTAATAATTGCTTTTAATTTTTTAACAATTGAAGGTTTAACTCGAATAAAACACAAAATGATTTTTGTTTGTTATGATGTCATTGATTTCTTTTATTAATATTTGTTAATTTTTAAAATCGAAATTATTTTTTTTAATGAATTATTATTATTATTAGTATTATTATTTGTAATTATGGATTATAAGTGTGGTTGAGTTCCTTTTATTAGGGCATTGGCTTTATGTAATTAAAGATTAAAGATTTGAGAAGTGTATCACAAAATATTGTTTTGTGATGAGGATGATCAAGAGATTGATTATACTGCTAATGTTGTTTACAAAAAAGTTTTTCAGAGTTTGTAGTTTGATCTTGAACACTCATCATTTTAGTTCTCACTTTCTACTTTAATTTCAAATGTTATATCTCTTTTAAAATACTCCGTATTTACAGTTTCCCTTATTGATGATGTTTCAATTTCTCTTTAACTACAAACACTTATTTTGTTACTAACCACTTTATTTTGAGTTCAATTACTTTTACGTTTTTATAATACACTTCTTAATAACATGTCGGTAAATTTACATTCGCGCATCGCGCGGGTGAGAATCTAGTAATGGATAATACGTCTATATCTCGTAACTAGTTTCAAGGCATTGTGCATTATGTATAGAATGCACTTTTAAAATATACTTCGTACCCAATATCACATTTCTCTAGGAGAAATATGAATACGAACCGAATGCAACTCGACGATAATATCTAAGTATATTAGAGACCTCATTTGTACATTGTGTACCTGAATGATTTATTTATTACTAAATATGTCTTCAGGACATGGATCTTCGTCCAAATTAGAACAGTATTGTGTACAATCAATATTATACGACAACTTAAAGTGGATTTTCGAGTTACATTGGGTTCCTATAGACATGTATCATTCCACAAATCCAGTGATATCGACAGAGTGCTATAGTAAAATCCTATATTTATGCATTGGGTTAACAAGTTTTATCTGTATAGAAATATACGTTTTCGAGTATCATGTGAACTAATGCATTGGGTTATATACCACTTATAAAGTATTATCCATTTGGGAAATATATTAACGTATGATTCAGTATACACATGCATATCTTTAAATATGTCACAATGTTTTAGATGAAAATCAGATAAACCCACTACAATTTATATTATGATTTAGTAAATACTCCACTTTGCAATATCTTTCATTATTATAATATTGTGTATTATAAACACATTCCTATATTGGGTTCCTATATATACATGTCCAAATACATGTCGTATTTGAACATGTATACGAATATACACATTACCTATCACAATCAATGTGGATTCGAAAACACTAAATTATAATGGGTTTAACAATGCAACTCACATTTGTAAATACACTTGAAGACATGTATGAGTTGTATTCAACCCGATTAGACTATAATCTACACATATCATGACAACCCGAAACTGTAGTCCCAATGCAAAGTATGGATATCCCAAATTAAAATACATATTGTATAAATCACCTAATCGTTGTCAATCCTATATATACTTGATGTTTACACTGAAACTTATGGTAGACATAAATACGGTTGTATAGGAGTTATAGGAACCCCTTCGAGTTGCATATACAAATTTGAAATGTAATACTTACATATAATTAAGACCACAGATAATAATCTTAAATAACTTGTAGATGCACAATGGATTTTCGAGAAAGATACATTGGTGTCGTATACATAGACACCTAGATTGAGTTGCATTGGTTTCGGGATACAGTCCTACATTTAGGAGATAGTGGGTTCACTTATTGGATTTTCGAGAATACATATTATAATGATTCTAGTACACTTATTTCGGATAAACATGTCATGTGTGGACACAGATTGTGATCAACCCTAAAATTAACATGTCTACACATAATTTATAGTGACACAAATCTATGTACACACAATTTACGAAATGTGTCCTGAATTTATGATAGTCCCAAATATCTCCGTAGACATCTAAAGTCATATTCACGGAGATTGATACATGTCTTCAAGTCCAAATTACCCGAAATTTGGTTGTGCCGATAGATTGTGTATTATAGAATTCTGCATACACTAAATCACCTGAAGGAGAAATGACTAAAAATTTGACTAAATGCCTATATCAACCGAGTCATTGGAATCTTGAAGTTTCTATGATACACAATCTTTCTTTCTATACATAATTTGGACTTAGAGACATCACGAAAATGAACAATGTTTGTTTATAAGATGATGAGATTTCTTGTATATTCAGTGAACCGAGTGCATTTAGTGTACAATAATCTTTATAGTGTAAATATACTATATCTTTAATTTGACACGTTATCGTAATATTTATGTGCCATGTATCTTTCTTTAAATACGACAATGTCTTGTGTTTATAACTAGACTTAAAGTTATATACATAATTTAAGATATGTAGTATGATTTATGATAAAGAAAAATCCCAATGTAATAAACACATGTGCATTTCTCGGATGACATTAAGATACACTGAAGACATGTATCTTTCTTTCTATACATAATGAGCAGGGCCGGCTTTGGGGCCAGTCAGCCTAGGCGTTTGCCTAGGGCCTCACATTAGGGGAGGGCCTCAAAAAACAAAGTACTCCATATGCAAATTTAATTTTGGAATTTAGTTACTAGAATTAGAAGTTGGAAGGCCGAAGCAGAAATGTAGATACGATTCCTAAACTTTAGACCATCGATATCTAGCAATAGAAAAGAACTCAAGAACGCGAAGGAGAGCTTGTTTGCAAGGGATTATATTTCTTCGTGCGAGAAGGTTACAGACGTGAGTTCCTTTGTAGCTGGAGGTTTTTTTAAGTGGGATTGTACGTGGGGGATTTAGGATGTTTGAGCGACTGTGTGAGGAAGGCAGTATGAATTGGGGGGGGGGGGGTCGCCGGGTCGGTGATGAAGAAGTGGGTTCATGAGAGTGGTTGAACAGTGCTGTCCAAGCAAGAGGTCTAGATGCCTAAATACTGTCCAAGCAAGAGGTCAAGGATTTTAACTTTTTAGTATTTGAGTTAAATACTTGAGTTAAATACTTAGTTTCTAAATGCCTAAATATTATATACCGAGTACAAGTGTGTAATTAGTGTGATTGCATTCATCCCACTAAATTAGATATTTTATTTTATTTTATTTGTGAGTGCATTTAGAAAATTTAAGTTTTGAATTAATTTGTTTATGCATTTCGTATTATCTATAAATATGTTGGTACAAAATTTGAGTCGGGAGGTCTGAAGAGAAAAAATTAGATGAGAAGAGATTATTTACAATCACTTGTTAGCTCTATAGACTGATATGTAAAAACACTTTCTTCTATTTTTTAAAAAATGTTAGCTAGTTTTGATTAGTGATGGTCGTATAAATTTTGCACTTTAAGATATTTGCTTATTAAAAAATACATTTTGTAATGCATTTTGTATATGTTACATTTATAGCCTGTTTGGTATCAATGTTTTTCGGCTTATCAAGTTTATCAACCATTTTTTCACCAAACACGTAACTTCTGAATTGTGTAATAATAAGAAAATGTAAGATTGAAATTACTTTTCTGGCTGTATTGACTGAAATTACTGCAGATAATCATTTTAGCTATTTTCTCATATAACTTTTTCTTTATTATATTAACAAAATATATTTTAAATATAATTTTTTCATAAATTAACAGAATCAGCCAATACAATCACTTTAACCAGAACTTTATAAATTTAAGCAAAGTCAGCCGATTCAGCCAATTTCAGTGTTACCAAACATGCTATCAAAATTTTATTGTTTGATTTGAAATTCACAATATATGATGAATTTGTATTTATTCTTTCTTATTTATTTTATCTTTTTTCAGATATAAAAATTAAAACTTTTCGCCTAGGGCCTCCAAAACGCCGGAGACGGCCCTGATAATGAGTTTACTAGAATGTCTCTAAATTGAGTTATAATAGCAAATGTTTAGGCCAATCTATCTGTTAGGACGTATGCACATGAGTTAATTTATATGCATAACTCATGACAATATAAATTTATGTGTATATACCATAGAGTTTAGTGGGTATACTAAACATTTCTGTAGGATATATAATGAAGAAATCGGAATCAAATGTATAGGAACCCATATACTCCTTCAGACATATGCATAAATTGTTTAAATCATAATACATACTCCCTCCGTCCCAAATTGTTTTGCAAAGTCAACATTTTTTGGTCAACCAATAATAAAAGTCAATGCTTCGTATCGATAATTAATTCAACTTTTAATAATTAAAATTTACATATTTAGAATCTACATTAAAATATCTTTTAGGTTGCAAACTCCAAATTAGAATATAATTAAAAATTGACATCCTAATTAAACGAATAAAATGAATTGTTTGACCAAGAAAAATCAAATTTGCAAATCAATTTGGGACAGTGGTAGTATATAATTTGTCTGAAATCTATATCATAATAGATTGATCTCATATTAGGTACAAAATCATACAATACGTCCTAAATACATTTCCCGAAATACATGCATCTAATAATAACGAAATGTATACATTTTATGTATGACGAATATCAATTTGTGGCCTAGGCATATTGGCATAATTGAGGTATATACACATTTATACCCTATGCACTTGAGACACTGAAGGATCATATAAATCCAATAAACTCCTTATGTCCAAATGCATATTCGAGTGTATACTTATAAATAAACACTCACTAATTGTGTATTATACGTGATGGAAAATACCATTTTTCATGACATATAAAGATACGTGAACCTTATTTTGTATGTCTTCAGTCTAAAAGTGGACTTTCGATAACAAAAAATGAATGTTTTCTATGATATATACTTCCTCCGTTCTTTTTTAGTTGCAACGGTAAACATTTCACACTTGCCAACGCACATCTTTGACCGTAATTATATCTTAATCTCTATTAGTAAAAAATATTTAAAAATTAGTTTTTGAAAATTTGTAATGAGATGAATTGAACAATACTTTTTTTTAAAAAATAATTTTCATAAAATAATAATATAAAATGTAGTCAAAGTAGAACATGTGAATAGTGTAAAATTCAACATGTTGCGATTAAAAAGAGACGGAGGATAGTATGTAGATAATCCAACTTGAGATTGGCATCAGATAGATACGTTGTAATTAAGGTTGATGTAGTAACACATTTCTCCGTAAATGAGTTATGCATAATGAAAGATACATGTATGCACATTTCTCCTATATTTATGATACGACATTATGTAGATACACTGAAGACATGTATAGGTTGTCGTAAACCGATTTGCATACGTCAACATGACTCCGTAACTCCTGAAGTAGAAATGTGTTTTGAGTCACAAATTAGGCAAGATATATATGTATCATGACAGTATAGCACTTATGTGAATACCAGTGAGATTTCGAATCATGTAGATTCAGTGTATAGAAAATCTATCGATACATAATATAGGAACCCAATGCAACTCGACGATAAATCTAATGTCTTCAGTGTTTTCGGGATTATTATATGAATATTTTATAGAGTTTTCGTTGCAAGTGAACCAATAATAGTATATGAATATGTGTCAATAGTTAGAGTAGGATTTTTACAACTCCCAAGTCCAAATTTACGTGTAATAAAGATTTTGATCAAAACGTTTCATTATTAGGTTCGTATATTTGATGATTGCACATTTATATGTATCCAAAAACATTTGATAGGAACAATTGGGCATGTATCTTTCTATAAATTTCTACATTATCTATTATGAATAATGTATAATCCATTGTCTTCAGTGTTTCTATATGAAATTGTAAACACATAATAGGCCTAATATTCGTATCCACAGTGGAAATGTGTATATTTTACATTGAACTATATTCATTTCAATGTATCTATTAAATAGGCCTAAATAGATTCTATTTAGGAACCCAATGCAATTAAATTCGGGTTAATTCGTTGTCACTTTACTTATGCATATCTAGTGTATTATCATATGCATATGACAATTCATTTCATATACAAGGATTTAGTAAATATCATAATTCGGTTTATTATTGTTATCTAATAACAATTTTTACTTAATGATACAATCAAGGCACTCGAAATTATCAGAACACTATAATAATGTTTTTAATTTCTATATATACAAGTCCAAAATAAATACACATGTAGGGTATTCTCATATTGTTTTCTATTTTCGAGTTGCATTGGGTTCACATACTCGTATAGGAACCCAATACACGTATCACTGTCCAATCAAGACACTATACATAATTTGGATTTGAGTTCTGAAGAAGAAATGTGTATTTATGATATAGGAACCCAATCTACATTAAACTCGAAATTATGTCCTGATAATTTCGAGTGCCTAATTTACTTGAGTTCTGATATAGTAACATACGTTTATATGATTTCGGTTGATTATCCTGAATTTTTTCGAATACATGGGTTCCTATGTATGCATTTGAAATACACATTCGACATGATAAGTTTAGTCATAGGTGACATCAACTTTGGAAAAGATAATTTCCTATAGTAACGGAAATTATAAGATATATCACTGTGAAGATTATCACAAATACGATATATCGGTTGGATTTCGTTGTCTATGATATGTATAAACCCACATATGCAACTCCCTCATTATACAGTGCATAGGATTTACATCAAGTATACATTACTATACAAAGGTATGATATGGACTAGTATGCACAGTGGATATAATAATAGGTTATGTAAAATATCAATCTTTTGAACATGCAAGATACATGTCATTAGGTGTAATATAATAAGGACTTATGTTAAAATTAAGTACTCGAAAACACTGTTTATAAAATATTGAGTATCAAAATGTCTTTCCTATGTATAGTGGTTATTTACCACTATGATATAGTGCAAATCATACGATGGACTTCAGTGTATATATAATCCTATATCATTGTCGAAAGTACACAGGATATAGGATTACTAAGAGCATCTCCAGTCGGAAGCTGTTAACATTAAAAATCATGGCTACGTCTTCCACTTTAAACATTGGCGTATAAAACTTCTTCCCAACGCAGCCTGTATACTTTCCTGTAATGCTGACTTGTCAAAAAATAATTTTGACACTGTATACATTACTGTTTTCGTATAACGTAACACTGCCGTTCACATGCTGAGTCAGCCATTTTTAGCTGATAAAAATTATTCCGCCGATTAATAAAACTACCCGCGAAAAAAATCTCTCTCCCACCTCCCAAATTATCTCTTCCAGTATCCCACCCTCCCACTCCCACTTCATTTCTTTTCTCCTCAAAGTGAAGCTTCGTAGATGGAGGAGTGTTCAAGGCAGCATAGCTCTCTTCAACAGATCTGATTTGTGGTAAGTACATAGGTTTTTTTTCATTTCCACAAATTTCCCACTTTAAATTTACCTCTTCTTCTATTGAATAGATTCAATCTACGTGCTCTCTCTGTCGGCACCTCTTTTGTCTAACTTCGGTGAAGCTGTTTACATATTACAGTGAGGCGGTGACAAGGCGGTGGTATGTGCTCATATACTGGGGAGTTGTTTCAGATTTCTTTTTTGTTTAAGAAATGTGATATGCTTTAACTATTTTTTGGGTTGGTTTTTGTATTTTTTTATCAATAGGCAATTGTTGAGCCTAATATGTCAAAATTGACTAAAGGTCGACATGTAAGTAGGCAATCTGAAAATATCAATAGTTCTTAGATGTTCTTACAAATAATTTTCTCATAGCAGTAACATACCTAAATCAGGGAATAGAGCTTGTGTTGGGCCCTGTATTTTATTACATTATAGATAAAACATTAGTCTGTTATGCTTCTCTTACAAAAATATAATGGATTCATAGTTGTTAGTTAAATAATTTAGGGCCAATTGGGTAGAGGTTGTTTTTCTGGCTAAATTAATTGAGTTCAGCAAGGAAAACCACGTTTGGTGAAGCTGGTTTAAGCCAAATAAGCCAAAGCTAGATTATTCCAAGTGTCCTGCTGATAAGAAGAAAAGGTATGGCTATTATATTATGGCTACCAAATTGATCCTGAACTTACAAAGTATTTTGACGAAAGTGGGTTGATAAAAAGGTTTGTATTCAAATGTGATTTGTCAAGTCCATTTAGTAAAGTAGAGTTGTTGAAATTTGCCTCAAATTTCAATTGGAAAAGTGAAAAGGAACTTAAAGTTGTGTTTGCAAAAGGTCAAAAGCTCTCATAGAAACAGTTTTGCACTTTCTAAAATCTGTTGTTTTTTAATGAATTGTGAAAACACATTCTGATTTGGCTTTCAAGATCCAATAGCCAAAACCCGTAGTCCTATGACATATACTGACTACTATTTGCAGCCCTTTTTTGAGTTTTTCATGACTATACACAATGATCTTATTACATATACTTGCTATTCTTTGCATTCTGAAATACAATAATTTCTTTAACAGAACCTAACATAACATTCATTTATTATCTACGAGACTTATATTATGTATAGGTATGTAAAGAAATGGATTCACAAGACCCGGAGACCTTCTCATCTTCTCAGTATCAGTACAATTACATTATACCATCTCAACTCTCAAACCAATCACTTCACCCAACTCCACCAGTCCAACCTGCTTATAACTTTAACCAAAGTAATGGAATGTATCCTTATTGTGTGGACCAATATGGATCTAAAATGTCATTCCAAAGTCTCTCTTGAATTCTCCGATATTAAATACTCCAGTAGCCAATGCTCAATTTGAGAGTTCAACAAAAAGATCAAAAAAGAAAGGTGATGATATCCAGATTATACCTCAAGCTGCAAGTTCCAGAAAAGAATGGACCAAAGAGGAAGATGTAGCATTGACAATGCATGGTTACACGTATCAATGGATTCAGACATCGGAAACAATAAAAAAAGTACTGCTATGTGGGTGAGAATAGTAGAAGTTTTTAAAGAAAATATGGGAGCTAGATGCAATCCTCTTAGAAACAACAACAGCTTGCAGTTGCATTGGGGGAAAATACAAGCAGCGGTGAATAAGTTCGTTGGACATTATGAGCGACTAGATAGGCACCCAAAGAGTGGCACAAACTTGGATGATTTGGTAAGTGATAAATTTTTAATGATGTTGTTTTATAGAACATTTTCTACTTATGTTTGAGAAATGGTCTCAGTATTGAGTATTACCTCAAAATATACTATTAAAAATTTGTTTAATATTTTTGTTTCTTAGATAAAAAAGGCAATGGGATCGTATGAAGACATTCAAGGAAGCCCATTCAAATATCTCCATTGTTGGGAAATAATGAGTAAAAATCCAAAATGGTACTCCGAACATGTGAAGCCAACATCAACAAATAAAAAAACAGTTCACACCTCCAGCTCACCTGTAAGAGAGGACCATGCACCGAGTATTGATGAACAAATTATGGCCTCTGGAGGTACTAACTCAGATGGGCTCATTCGTCCCCAAGGAAGAAAGGCTTGTAAGGAAAGAAAAAGAATGTTACACGAGGAAAAAGGTGTGGTGGATGCGTTGAATAAGCTACAAGGCACTCTAGAGAAACAAGTTAATGCGAATATTATAGCTTTGGAGATGAGAAAAGAGAATGACCAAAAAGAACTTCAATTGAAACAACAACTCATAAAAGAAGAGGTTGAATTAAAAAAGAATGTTGAAAGGAGGAAAGAGCGAGAACATATTATGACTCAAGATCTAAGTAAGCTCTCACCAACTGTTCGAGCAGCATATGAAGTAATGCAAGCAAATATTCTAAAAGAATGGAAAAAAGATGGCTTCCTTGGATCTAAAAGGTAAATATTAAGTACATATTTTATCTCTTGTTATATTGAGTTTATATGAATTGTGGCTAAACTAATACTGATTTCTTTTTTCTCATGTCCAGCACTTGACGCTCAAGACTGCACTTCTTTGGAAGTATCTCTTTTAGAATCTAGCCATTTGTTTGTTGTCAATGATGTTTTCTTTTCAAGTGGGATTTGTACTGGTAGACTATTGATAGTAATAGGGTTTTAATGACACGGTTTTGAATGACTTTTTCCTTTTTTTTTTCTCCTGTTGTCGCATGACTACTTTGGCTATTTAGTCAATAGTTGTTTATCTTGAATTGTGATTGTTTAGTGTTTTGAAAGAACTCAGGTTGTATGATGTGTTTGGCAGTCAAAAGTGACTTATGTGCTTATAAGTAGCTCTTAACCTTTTTTTCTTAAATACCTCTCCGTTCATTATTGATATTTTCTCAAACAATCTGATGTACTACCTAAATGAATCTAGATCCCACTTTGAATAATACTACTAAATTAATGGAAGAATATACAAAGTCCATATTTGGTTGCCTCTTTAGCTGCCGATTCAGGGTCTTCATTTTTTCACTCCACCATTATTTGTGATTACAGTTGTGTGGTTGTTTGGAAGAATGGACAACATATGGCTCCGGAACTTGATAAGTCCGTATTTTGACACGTATTTGATGCGTGTTGAGATCGGCTTTTGATGATTTTCCTAGTTTTAAGGTGTTACAAGTCTCAATTTTAGCTCAAGTTATGTTTACCGGGCGTTGGTTCGAGTTTTGTGTTGTTTGTAGTCAAAATCAGGGAATTTGAGCCCGGCACCGGCACTTGAGGAACAATCGGGATGATTTGAGAAGCATTTGAGAATGATTTGATAGCTTTGGAGGTCACCGGAAGATTCACGATGAAGATTTGAAGGAAAAAGAGCTTGTCATATGAAGATGACCTTCTGTCAATCGTTCAAGCATATCTCTTTGTAGAAACATCCAATGTACACGATTCAAGTTCCATAAGAAAGCCAACTTCAAGGGCTACAAATCATATGAAAACACCTTTGCGAGAATATGAGAGGAAGAAGGTGAAAACAGACGATGAAGTCAGATGATCTCTGCTGCGATTTCAGAAAGACACCTTCCACCGTTTTGATCATATCTCTTTATTGAATGATTCAAATCACAATCGGCAAATTGGGGTGGATAGAGGACTTCATTATCTACAACTTTCATGAAGGAAGTTTCGTCAAATTCAGAAGTTAAGTAGGCACGATCGTGCCCTCAAAGTCAGACACGATCGTGCGTGAAGAGAAAACACGGAGGAGTTACTGCCAGCCAGGCACGATCGTGCCTGGAGGGAGGCACGATCGTGCCTGCCCAAAATGCGCGTTTTTGCTCCGGAGGCACGATCGAAGGCACGATCGTGCCTGGCATCGTGTCTGGCTCCGAAAATCCTAATTCAGCTCAAATTTCACCCGATTTTTCTATTTAAACAGCCTGTAAACCCCCGTTTTCAAGGGGGAGCTTAGAGAGAGTGCCTAGCACGAAATTTAGAGGGCTTTTCAGCCTTGTTCATCAATCTTTTGGGATTCTTTGTAAGTTTCACCTTTTTAATTAATGACAATTAATTCTTTTTATTCCAATTCTATTGATTCTTCAATTATGAATTGTGAGTAGTTTTAATTAGGGATTTGGGGTTGATGAAGGGGTTAATCATGATGTATGGTTAGATTCTTTTCGGTTTAATTGCATGAATGCCGTTTAATTTGTGTTTGAATAATTTAATTGATATCTCTTGTAACCTAGACTGCAGCTAGAATTACAATTGCATGTAGAATGAATTAAGAGAGATCTAATTTGTTCTAGGACACATTCACACACACTTAATCGTTCGCTAAGAGATTAGTAGCGATTAAGGGGCCGTAAGCTCGCTCGTTTTGGCAATAATTTAGGATCTTGTCGAATGAGAGATCAGCCTGGACTCCTAAATTATTGTACTCTTCGCCGTGAGAGCGGTATGAACTTAGTAATGATTAGCCAGGCTCAATTAAATTAAATTCATGTAATTAGGCCTGTTCTGCCAGAAATCTGGTTAACCCCGGAATCGATCCCTGTTCCCTTCGTCATTAATTAGAAAGAACCCCCTAGTTTAATTGTTCGCATTAGTTTTATTTTCCAAACCAACCAATCTCGCACGACGCTTTTATTTTGTTTTCTTTTTAATCGCTGAATTTAATTAATTCTTGATTCCCTTTTGTCCGTCCCTGTGGAGACGATACTCGTACTTACACCACTATATTACAATCTTTTTAAGTGCGAGAAAACACTCATCAGAACTGGTTCTTTAATAGGCAAGCTAGTGGTACTCACAAAAGTTTTTAACCTACTTATTTGGATTTTATCATCTGATTTTTAGCTTGTGAATGAGCAGAATCTGTAGAATCGGTTATTTTTAACTTGTATAGCATTCCAGCTTTCATTCGGAAAAGAATTGTTGTATAACATTAGCTTTGTCTTTTATGAGTGTGAAAGTTAGGTTGCTGGAGTCCCCATAGCAACATTTGATCCAAATAATGTAAAATCCATCAGAGTGTTTTACAGATCTCACTTGGATCCCTATAACCCTACTCACCTCAAAAGCAATTAGATATCTAGAAATACTATATGAGTAATTAAATTCCAATATAGTCTATGCCGAAGAGAAAAACAATGCAAGAAAATATACCTTCTTAATAGTCAAAATTCAATGAACTACACATGAAAAGAACAATAAAATAAATGCTCCAACATAGTATTATTACATAAGAGATCAATCAACTTGTTGGCCGCCATGTAACTCCCACAAATGATTTATGAGATCATTCTTTAACTCTCGGTGCAATCTTTTATTTTGTATCTCCTTCATTCGAGTTTTCATCTTTGAAAAAAGAAAGGTAAAATCATGATCCGGAACAACATTGTCACTTGTATCTTCTCCCTCGGATTGCCAACTTTGAGGATCAATGCCTTGACTGTTCTCACTTTCAATAATCATGTTATGTAAAATGATACATGTTTTCATAATCTTTCCTAAATCCTTTTGGTTCCACATACGTGCTGGACCTTTGATAATATGCCACCGACTTTGCAGTACTCCGAATGCTCGTTCTACATCTTTTCTTACAGACTCTTGATGCCTTGCAAATAATTTTTCCTTGAGAGAAGATGGATTTGAGATAGTTTGGATTAAAGTGGCATATTCCGGATAAATCCCATCTGATAAGTAGTAGCCCATATTGTAATGATGATCATTCACTACATAATTGCACAATGGTGCTCTATCATTAACAAGGTCATCAAATAAGGGAGATCTATCTAAAACATTAACATCATTATTTGTACCGGCCATTCCAAAAAATGCATGCCAAATCCACAAATTTTTAGAAGCTACAATTTCCAAAATAAGAGTTGGAACTCTTTTGAAACCGTTAGTATGTGTCCCGTGCCAAGCCGTTGGACAGTTTTTCCAATGCCAATGCATACAATCTAAACTACCAAGCATACCTGGAAATCCACGGTCTTCTCCCTATTTCAAAAGTTTTGCAACATCATCTTTGTCCGGTTTTCGTAAATATTGCTTTTCAAAAATGCCAATTATAGCATCGCAGAATCGTTTCAAGCTCTCAATTGTCGTGCTCTCTCCAATTTGGACATACTCGTCAAGAATATCCGCTGCAGAACCATATGCTAACATACGTATTGAAGCTATGATTTTTTGTAAAGGACTTAACCCAGGTTTTCCAACCGCGTCAACCTTTTGTGTAAAATAATCGTCATAGGCCTCAATTGCTCTCAAAATTCGTTCGAATAATTCAATGTCCATCCGAAATCGTCGACGAAATTTCTCGGGTGTATATTTTGAGTTCTCACCATTGAAATAATCATTGACAATTAGATCATGGCGTTCTTTCCTATCACGATTTATATATCGTCTATCACTTACTGAACCGCCATGAGGACCTTTGCTACATATTAACGTAGGAGACATTATCAATGGGATGTGAACTGCACATGTCTCCACTATATCAATGTTCATTTCCGCAAAAATGTCACCGTCCCTCCTTTGATTGAGCATTTGTGTAGATAACGGTAGTGAATCATCGCTAGATGATGAGCTATTGGAATCCGAGTCATAACTAGGTGTTGTCATTTCTGTCAAAATTAATCTGCTTACAAAAAGTATATGTTATTTTCAAAAAGTCATCAACAGGCTCCATCAATATAAAAATACTAAATGAACAAATTAAATAATTTTATTCAAAGAATTTAATATAAATTAAAAATAATAGATATAGATCGGATTATTTGAATAATAGATATAGATCGATCAAATAAAATGAATTGATATACGCAAGCATTACCTCTACGTTTTCTTTAAGACCCACGAGTCATTTGATGTTCTTGTTGTATGGCTTTTGAACTGTCAATCATCAATGATTTGAATTTGATAGCTACGAAGTATTTTACAAAGGAGCCGGCTCATCTGGAATATTTTTTGGGTTCAGGAGCAATATACTACGTAATTAAAAACGAGTTATATTTTACACATGGGTGAAATACGGGCTGTTATACATCATGCATTGCATAGGAATTCTGGGATCTCAATGTCCACTCTATTTACTTTACGTGATGTGGATGACAGCCCCATACATTAACTGCCACATGTCAAATTTTTTAGGATGTTAACAGTATACGATTGTGGATGCTCTAATAATGTTTATCAATATTATGTCCTAATTTACTGAATGTATATCATGTAATCTGTATTCGAAATAATCCAAAATTTATGATTATGTGGAATTTTCGACAATGAAGTTGTGGTAAACATTACGTATCATTTACATATATACAACTAAGTGTATTGGTATCGAGATATTAAGTAATACACAACTAGTTTTCAGTCCCAGACCAGATCAGACCAGACTTAAACAGACCAGACCAGACCAGACCAGACCAGACCAGACTTAAACACACCAGACCAGACCAGACCAGACTTAAACAGACCAGACCAGACCAGACCAGACTTCCGTAGTTGTAAAATACACAGAGACCAGACGTTTACCAGACCAGACCAGACCAGTTCAGACCAGACCAGACCAAACTTAAACAGACCAGACCAGACCAGACTTAAACAGACCAGACCAGACCAGACCAGCAAATTTCAGCCCAAAAGAAAACATCCGAAATGTGCACTCTTTTTATGGAACTATTCAATATATTTCTAGAAAAATACATTTGAGTTTACACAAATATCCAACCAATTTATCCAAAGTATATCTATAATTGTTCTTAGACAATTATGTGGATACTATAAGAGCATCTCCAATGCTAAAGCGTTAACGGTGCATACGTGGCATGAGAAATAACCAATTAAAAAACAATAAATACAATATCTCTCTCCTTTTTTCCACAGTCTTATGTGTTTATGGTAAGTTTTTGTCTGCAATGTCAATCAAAATGTTTACATCTAGACACTGTGCTTGACATTGTGAAGATAAACTTACCAAAATGATGTAAGATCCTTTAAATAAGGAGAGAGATATTGTATTTATTATTTTTTAATTGGTTATTTCTGATGCCACGTATGCACCGTTAACGTTTTAGCATTGGAGATGCTCTAATAGGGTATAGAAACCCAATGTATTTAATAATTTATCTCTTTTCGGGTTTACTAAATCAACCCGAAAAGAGATAAGAATCATTATATACATAATATAATAGATATATATTGGTCGATTTACACAATTATATAAATGTAAGTTATACAACTTGTCTAGGTATCCGTAAATGTATTCTAACAATGTTTACAATAATTGTACATGCCAAATTTAGTGACCGTATGCATGCATATGTAAATTTAGTACATGCCATATGTAACCGTACATGCATTACAATATTTTGGGTTGTGATTTCAGTATATGATCACAAAAAGATTGATTATGATAGCGTAAATTTAGTGAGATATGTTCTAGATTAGATCAACCGGTTAAATCACTATAAGATACTCCCTCCGTCCCTAAATAAACTTCCAACTTTCCCTTTTCGTCCGTCCCAATTAAAACTTCCACTTTCCCTTTTTGGCCAGAATTTGTGGTTCACAGCAATTCTTACAGATTTCTCTCTCCTCTACACAACTCTCCACCACACAATACCCATTATCTTAAACTCTGTGCCAAACCTATTTGGAAGTTTAATAAGGGACGGAGGTAGTATATCACTGAAAATATATAAAGGTCCACTTTTTGTAATGTTTGCTAATAGGCCAACAATTATTGTAAACATTGTATACGGATATCATGATATGTCTTGACTTGGCATACCTAAAATATATCATTTAATAGTGAAATAGTGTAATCCTATATAGGGTACATAATGATACTAAAAGTACACCCGAATACATTATTTACATGTATACAATTTGGACTGGTCGTGATATCTACATAATATCACGTCAGGACAATGTGTTCAGGCATAAATATCGTGTCTCCTATTGTCAATACTGAAATAAACCTATACGTTTATTCGGATTTGAGTCCTTTTATAATGCAACTCATTGATTTAGTAAACCCGAAATGGAGACTTATATACGAAATTGATGTGCATACTCAATAATTATTGAAATATTTGAGAGGTATCATTAATCATGATATGTTTCATAGTGGTTTCGCCACTGTATAAGAGGGCCGTGATACATCGATACTAATTAGGTCTACTGTATAGATTTATTAACCCAACCATAAAACAGGGTTATTACACATTTTTAATAATGAAAATCCTTCGGCGTAATCATGACTACTTGATTATGCACAACTCAATAAAGATACATGTCTAGGCCATGATTGTGACGGAACATGTGATAAGGTTCATATAAAACTATGAAGTACCAATTGGATTGTTTATAAAAATTCCTATGATAAATATAGGAATTTATCAAGACAATCTCGACATGATGACTCAACACTAGACATGTGTTCGGAACTATTAATCTAGGAAACAATTTTATCCAATCTTTAGTAAAACAACGAAAACACTAGGACAATATGCATGTAATATGTTAAATTAGTTACATACGTAGTATATGATATAGGAGATTCACTTTATACGACTAAATTTTTCTGATTTAGGGCATTTATGATCTAGATATAAATTATAGGACATGTACTGTGACACATATTATGATACCAAAAACTATTCATGTAAAATAGACAGATTTGAGTGTATAAAGGTGATTGGTATCAACTCCTTGTATATCTTCACTAAAAATCAGATTACCAATGACAATTATCATAATTTGGACAATACGATATCATAGGACATTCCTATACAATTGAACACATTTCAATACGATTTGTTTTATGTATAGAAAGATGTCGGTTGATGGACTCCGTTGACATGTGTATTTTAAACCGATATTGTGCACAAATTTTAATATATTTTTCTATGAACCCGGTCTTCGATCATGTATCAACCAGAAATGGGTGTCAAATTATTCGACATAATTTGGCCTAAATTTTATGTATCTAATTATATTTATACACTGGGTATGTACCAAATCCAGATTGTTGTATATTGTTCCGAGAAACTCAATAGGATACTTTATTTCTATATCTATGTATAGAAAGAACCCGAATGATATCATAGAAAGAAAATGAAGGCATACTTGAGCCCGAATTTCAGGAAAATAAGTATATATTATAGATATATCCAAAATATATCGTGATATATAGGAAATACGGGTGTAAATGTATCTTTCAATATATTTGGCGTATCTCCATGATAGGCCAATTGATTGTATATAAAGAAAGATATAAATACATGTGATTTATCCTATATATATCTACCTATATTTGTATCGACAAGTGTCTATACAATGTCGTATACATAATACATTAGATATCTAAAGTGGACTATTAGTACAATGTAAATAAAATGCATATAAGGATGTTTTCTTTTGGACTGTTTTCAGTCCCAGACCAGACCAGACCAGACTTAAACAGACCAGACCAGACCAGACTTAAACAGACCAGACCAGACCAGACCAGACCTAAACAGACCAGACCAGACCAGACCAGACTTCCGTAGTTATAAAATACTCAGAGACCAGACGTTTACCAGACCATACCAGACCAGTTCAGACCAGACCAGACCAGACCAGACTTAAACAGACCAGAACAGACCAGACCAGACTTAAACAGACCAGACCAGACCAGACCAGCAAATTTCAGTCCAAAAGAAAACATCCTAACACAACATGTGCACATGATCAAATACAATAATTTTATTCTATATCCCAAAAACTTATGTTCATAATATGTGTATTTATGATATTCGGGTTTACAATGCCAATCAAAAATACGTATTCCACTTGAAAGTTTTATAACGATATCTGATGAAGGAGTGTTTAAATAAAGTATTTAAATCGAGTTTGGATAATTTGAGTAGTATTACAATGATAATAATGCACAGAATGATTGAAAATAGTATATTATGATTGTCGGGTTAACTATTGTGCACTCAATATTAGAAACCGACATTTTCGAAATTTCTAATATACACCCATTACTCTAATCTTCATTGGAAAATAATGTTTATACATAGATATACCCTATACATACGAAAAGCAGAAATCAAAAAATGTGTGTGTGTTTTTATTTTTCATACTAATAATGGATCACCGAAAGAAAGACATTTATGATATATGTATACACATAATTCAGTGGACAATACATTTACTCCATTGAGTAAATGTTTATAATGGATTTTAGTATGAAAAATCCACATATAGATTATAACACCCACATTATGTCAATACAGTGTTTATAATGATTTGTTCGAGAAATCATTATACCCTATTTCTCATAAGTTTACTATAACCCAATAGTAAATTTCACTTCAGGTCACGGAGATTGGCCAATGTATAGGAACCCAATACATTATCACCCAAGACATGGGTTAGAAGATTTTATAATCCATAGTCTATTAGAAATATATTATGACCTTTGCATTTATCTTGCATTGGGTTCCTATATCACAATAGGTCTATTGGGTATTGCATAATAGGCCAAATTTATATGCATTATTTTCCTTCAGGACATTGTATATTGGTTTAGTAAACCCGAAAACACTGAAGACATGTATCTTTATTTCTATACATAAATTGGACTTGAGTCCTGAAGGAGAATCATATCCGTGAAGGAGAAATGTGTATTTATGATATAGGAACCCAATGCAACTCGAAAATCCACTTTTCGTTGTCGTACGCACAATCTAGGTCAATCTCCGTGACTCAGTTGATGTAGTAAACCCGAAAATACTGAAGACATGTATCTTTTTTTCTATACATAATTTGGACTTGAGTCCTGAAGGAGAAATGTGTATTTATAATATAGGAACCCAATGCAACTCAAAAATCTACTTTTCGTTGTTGTATGCACAATCCTACATACGAGTATAGAAATGTGTCTTCAGTGTCTTCGGTTGATGTCTTCAATGTAGTCACATCTTCGTAGTGGAAACGAAAACCCGATAGATAAATATATACGTCAACCTAGACAACGA